TATCAATGTGACTTTTTCAGAGTTTCGAGCTAACTCCTCTTTCCACATGAAGAAGGCGCTTGCTCAAGGTAGGATAGGTGAATTCAAACGAATAATTAGAAATTATAAGACCAGATTTCCTCACAATGTTTTCCTTTATGAATGTTTACGAATGTTTGTGGTATCTTAATGAACTTAGAAAGGACATATATTGACTGCGAAAAAGTCATTAACACTTGCTAGGTTTCTAACCCACCACCTCATGCATGAGAAGCTGGCCTTAACCTTTAAGCCACCACGACGTTTTAAGATAACAAATACTCTTTTTTTTCGCACTCTACTTAACACAACAATGAACAACAAACAAACAGCTATTCATAAATAATCTCAGCGACACGATTGAATAAGGTAGTTTCCAAACGTATCAAATCGATCGCAAAAGTAGCCCGTTTGCATAGGACTTTGTGAGCACTCAAGCAAGCAGATTAGGGACGGTATCGAGTGAGCGATCACTTTATCCCCTGAGCCTCTAAACCTGTTTGTACTAATATTATATGTTGTTGATGTTTCTCCCATCCTACTACTTAATATTTTAAATGTGAAAGTTGAAGAGATATTTATTCGTACACACTATAACGGTTTGACCGATTTTGTTGAATTCTGGTATGAAAATATGTGATAACCTGGATTAACGCATAGGTTTTCTATAAACATACCATGTGTGTGAAACCGCGCGTGGAAGTTTGTAGGTACTGTAATGAATTGACGTCTTAGGGCCAGTTTTTTGATCCGTAGTTAAATACGATTTGACTATTTCTTATCTTAACTATAGTCAAGAGGGTAACCAATTGTTATTACGTAATTTCATTTTTTGATGTCCACTTTAACTATAGTCAAACATAACCATTGGTTAATTTGTTGCCAGTGCAATGAACAACTTCCTCCCTAGAAAAAACGTGTTTATTTGTGGGTATTTTTCTTTAACTGACAACACTGATCAATAATGAATGAAGTTGAACCAAATGTCATTTTTGATATTTCAAAACTTTCAAAAGTGTGTTGATTTCAAACTGAATCGTTTGGTTTTATCATAGAGATAGTATAGGTATAGAGAAGCTAATAGCGTATACGACATGAGATAAAAAATGTCTTATATATACATTATAGGTAGGTATGTACATTAAACGGCTCACTACGGCTTTTACAGCCAATTTCACTGCAATTTACCGTATTAATTTACCGTATTGGTTCGATTTAAATAAAATAAAGCATAATTACGCTAAAAAGGGACAAGAAACGTATGTTTTGTCTTGCTCACACCTACATATATTCCATTTGCACTTTCTCGCTCTAATCATTTTTTTTCATTTTTCATTATTGTTTTAATAGCTTGTCTATTCTATTCTCTGTCTATGGGTTTTATAGTGTTTTCTTAAACTTTAGATTTTTATTAAATAATAATGTCAGGAAACAAGTAAGGAAATGTCTTTCTTTATATGTCTTATAAATGTGGGAGAGCCATGCTTCGGCACGAATGGGTCGGCTCGACCGGAGTGATACCACGGCCTCACAGAAAACCGGCATGAAACAACCACAGCGTTGTGTTTCGCCGTGTGAGTGAGGTTGCCGGAGGCCCAATCCTTCCCCTCCCCCCATTCCCTCCTCAATCCCTGAGTCTCCAAATCCCTTATCCCTAAAAGATCGGCAACGCACTCGTAACTCCTCCGTTGCGGGTGTCCATGGGCGGCGCTGATTGCTTACCATCAGGTAATCCGTGTGCCCGTTTGCCGAACTACTACATAAAAAAATGTTATTGAATTGTCATCCATAACTCTTCAAATATTGACTTTCGTGGTATTTTTACTATGTATTTTGATGTGGTATTTTATTCATTATTTCATAAATTTCCAGGGGAAACCGCAGTTCTAACTTTAAATCTTCTGAGTCTGACGCATCAAAATAACGGACAATATTTAAATTAATTATAGATAAAATGTAATTCTTCGGAATGAGATCACAAAATTATACAACAAAGCAAGAATCAGCTGTCGAATCTAGTTTAACTATCCGCCATCTTGGTTAACCCGCCACCGAGCCGTGGTTAAATTATTTGACTAATAGTTAATAATTTGACAATTAGTTAAGCTAACTAATGAACAAAAAACACATTTTGTCGATATTTAACCATTAGTCAAGATTTTTAACAATTGGTTGGGTTAACTACGGATCAAAAAACCGGCCCTTAATTTTTTGAGCTATGGAAATTACTTCTTTCCGCCCAGGGTTGGGCTAAAGTGATTGCCAGACTGACCTCACCCCGATCCTTCTCCGGTTCCGAGCCTGAGCCTGGAGCCACGGTACAGTATTGCACTTATATCAGCAGCCCTGGCTGGAAATTGGCCCTACTTACCCCATCTGCTGTGTTCTGATGGATCTATGACGCCAGTCGCGTTCCGCATGCAAAAAAAGTTGGAATATATGGACGTTAGAGTCCGTTTGTCAATTATTATCAATTATTTTAAGCATAATACTAAAGTGTGATGATGCATTATTTTTAGGTAAAAGTTTTATTCTTAACTAGATATCCGCCGAACTGCATATGATACTTAATTTCTCTACTATTTAATGGATGTTATTATAGATACATACAAATCTTCGTCTTCAAATCAAAACTACCCCTTAAAGTTATTGAATTAAGTTCAAGATCTTTGAGTACTGATTATTATATAGAACTATTTCAATGTTCTACCTTTAGTTTTCTTTTTAAAGCTAAAGTCAAGCAAGACTGATACGGCATTAAATTAAGAACCGTTTCGCGGCGTGTTGAAAATTCAAACTATTGTAATGCCATTTCATTTTGTATCATTTCTTTTATTTCTACGTACACATAACTAGCCTGAATAAACATTTTCTATATAATAAACGTTACACAACACATCGTTAAAAGTTAGAAATGTAATCGGTCTCCATTTTTTAAAACCGATGAAATAATACGACCTTGAACTAATAACTCGTACAAAATTCCTCCTGTGAATAGGATTTAGTAAACAATCGAATAGGTCTAAGGTCACCTTTTCAATAATCAAACAAACATTGGAGTACCTAAACTAAGTAGTTATGTAATTATAACTTAACAAGTGTAGAGAGAGAGCCAAGGACCCGAGAGCCAAGCTTCGGCACAAAGGAGTCGGGTTGACCGGAGTGATACCATGGCCTGAATAGAAAACCAGCGTGAAACAACCATTGCTTTGTGTTTCGCGTGTGAGGTTACTGAAGACCCATCCCTCTCCAATCCGTAAATCTCCGGAATCCCTAATTCCCAAAAGGCCGGCAACGCACTCGTACTACTCCTTTGGTAACTCCTGTGGTGTTGCAAGGCTGGGTGTCCATGGGCGGCGCCGATTGCTTACCATCAGGCAATACGTCTGCTTGTTTGCAGTCCTACAATATAAAAAAAACTACTGGACTATTAAGCCATATTAAGAACTGGAAAGCCTTGGTATCTCTCTCCATTCAAGCCGGTCCATGCGTGACGGAACATCTTTGCACAAAATTTATCCTTTTCGACTTCATTTATTCTATGGTACTCGAATCTTAAAGCTTAGCTTATTAAGATTTATTTACGTACCGCGTTGCGTCAATGTTTCCATGAAATCTCTGGAGTCAGACTCTCAAGAACGGACAAACTGGGCTTGTAAATAAAAAAAAATACTAAATATCAAGTGATAAACGACCCTTAAAAACTAAGTATGTATATGTATTACAATTTCAATAAAAAAATCTTAAAATATATTTTACCTTCTCCTGATTTACCAAAACACTTAACCCAGGCTCCCATTAAAATTCAATTGGTATCAGAAACGGCTCTTGCTTCCTTATCCCTCAATTTTTCGAGGACGTACTACGGGTGAGGGCAAGCCCTTGTAACTCACTCCAACTGTTTGGTGAAGTGACAAAACGAACGAGATATATAGGTAATTATACATGCTGTATATGTATCCATAAATGAATGGATGATTATCCCTCGGGTATTATGTAAACAATTTTACCCGTTTATGTAGAATGGATTATGTGTTTGGTAAGCTAACCGCCTACTCATACCATAATATGTGGTAATATGCTATTTTAATCGTGACAATTCTTGAGCCACGTTTGTCGAAAACTGCTAGATGTATTTAGATAAAATAAAAACTTCATTTAGTTTGGACGAAATGACTCTGAATATAATACTTTCTGATCAACTTATTTTGTTTAAACGCTACTTCACACTAGGCTTTTCTTTCTCGTGGGTGCGTGTACAAACATACAATTCCATATACACAAAATAGGTGGATAACGAAAATAATTATTTCATGCGAGAAACCTGCGACACGTTGTACGGCAACTGGTTGGGAAGCCAACGCATCGGGCGTGCCGTGTTCAAGATAAAGCCGTGGCAATTGATAACAAAATTAAAATTAAGAAAAAATATTAAAAATTTCTTCAATGCTCAAATAGTCGAATCGTCGCATCAACACAAAAGGACTTACGAATAATTTATTTATTTATTTTACACTTCTTGCACAACGTACAATGGCGGACTTAACGCCTTAGGCGTTCTCTGCCAGTCTACCTTTGGGTGGTGGAGAAATAGGAGTGGTAGGTACATCTTTGTTACAAAAACACATGCTAATTTACATCTTCAAGTTGACTTGTGTAACTCTAAAATATTTCGTTAACCGACCTGTCTCATCGAGTAACAAAAACAAACTGGAACTCCTTTAATTATGCACAATTTGATGCATAATGTCATTCCGAGTTGGAACTCGTGGTTCGGACTTGTGGGAATTGACATAAAATATTCAAGAACAATGAACCATAACAAGATATCTGAATTAAGGGAAAGTTTTGATTGCTTCTGAGACTACGGCGGGTAATAGAATCGTATGGAATATTTAGAGATGCTAAAACATTATCTTGTTACATACAATGATTGTAATTTGTTATCGGTTTAAGTGTGGGAGCGCCATGCTTCGGCACGAATGGGTCGGCTCGACCGGAGTGATACCACGGCCTCACAGAAAACCGGCGTGAAACAACCACAACGTTGTGTTTCGCCGTGTGAGTGAGGTTACCGGAGGCCCAATCCTTCCCCTACCCCAATCCCTTCCCAATCCCTAAATCACCAAAATCCCAATCCTTAAAAGGTCGGCAACGCACTCGTAACTCCTTCTTTGTTGCGTGTGTCTATGGGCGACGCCGATTGCTTACCATCAGGGAATCCGTCTGCTCCTTTGCCGTCCTATCACATAAAAACAATAAAAAAAACATCGGTCATCTTCGTGAAAAGCTTCCGTCGTCAATGAGTCAATATGTGTAGATGTAAAATAGCAAAATCAGCGCAAGACATACACCCGGTTTCCGAAAGGCCGATCAATGTTAAAATCAATTTAATCTCTTGTCAAGTCATCTGATTGGTTGACTGAATTATCAACAACCAATCCGATGACTTGACAAGAGATTTAACAGGAGATTAGTTAATTTTAGCGTTGACAAGCCTTTCAGAAACCGGGTGCTAGTCTTTCAACCGTGCAAATGCCCCGATCCGGAGTAGGATATTAGAGAGTGGGGTGGTTTTACTCGGTAAGAGTCTGACACTCCTACTCGTGTCATCCTGGGCGTGAAAAGTCATTTGATGGTTTCCCCGCCACATTGTCTCCTGCGTTAAATTTACCGAGGGAAGTAGAAACTATTTCGTTTTTTCTTCTCCTCAATTAATATCTTTTGATTTATTTCGTTGCGGGATCCAAGACAGTCATTCCCTCATGTCCCTGGGACGCGCCGGACTTCAGTGTTCCGGTGTTTTCATGGTTATATCTACTGTAAATCCTGGCTTACAGGAGTTGCAGCGGTGTAAGAGGTTGCGGCGGGCCTGTCCCATTAAAAAAATAAAAATAAAAAATACACCTAGTCTTTTACAGTCTTTCACATGCTGAACTGGGATCTCATATTTTGAGACATTTACGTTGTTCTTAAACAATATACATATCCAAGATTCACCTTGCGATGTGACTTTTGAACAGCGTCAAAAAATGTTTTCTTACTCTAATACTTAGGCAACTCATTTTTGATTTATTTATTTCAGTGTATGAAACCGGATAGTATGCCCGCCGGTGTGTAGCCGGTGCGTGCGCATGGGCAGCCTACCGGACCTCACGGAGCGTTCGCGGCCGACTCCCGTACGAGCCGCCGTGCGAACCGTGTCCGACCCGCACCGGCACCGGACTATTATCACACCGGTAAATATAAGACTAAAACCTAAAGATCTTTTTATACCCTGTACCTATATAATATAATTGACCACTCATGTGGTATTTCTATGCAGATTCCAGTTAGCACAATCTACAAAAAAGAATGGCCTTGGAAAAAGCAGAAGACTCCAATAAGGGTAGCGGGATCATGCATCGGACCTCGACGTCGGGATTCGGCTGCATCTTCAGTAGGAGCAGCTTCAGTTCGCAGGCTGCTTGCCCGACAACCACCGAAGCTGCCCAAACCACTCGTCAACCGGTTTACTCTTCTCTGCATTTCCAGCGGTCTTTGTGCCACTGCCCTTCTTCCTTTCACAGCATTCGCTGGCGCCGAGGCCGGAGCTATGCCTCTATCAATCATGCACACTGCCGCAGCTGTTGTGGCTCCGTTCTCTCCCCTAATCCTCCAAAAGACTGGAACCAGATTAGTGATTGCGATATCCCACACTCTTGTATGTGTGTTGCTGTCAGCTCACACAGTAGAAACACCATTACCTGTTCTCCTTGCGTTATACGGACTCTGTGGAGTAACGCTATCCCCGATGTCCCTGGCATTGTCAGCATCAGCAACTTCTCTAGCACAAGCAGCTGGCGATGAGGCTAGAAGAAAAGTTGCCCTCAGAAGAGCTTTAAGAGCACTTAGAGCAGCTCAGGACTTGGGTCTTGTCTGTGGCTCCCTACTCCTAGGATTTGCCCTCCTGATATGGTCTGAAGAGATTTCTAAACCTTCCACTCCTGCACCAACGAATATAACTGTGCCGAGGTGGCCACCACCTGAGGAATATTTCTTAGAAGATGATTATGAGGTAAGCATATCTACATGGATAAACAAATATCATATATTTTATACCACAGTAACCTTTTCACAAAACCGCAATTACATTGCAACACAAATCACCATTAAATTGGTTTTCAGGAGCGGACATGCGGATCTGCTGGGTGTCCAGATATGCAGACCTTATCAGGCACGGTACTGGACGCTTACGGCAGAATGTTGCTGGTCGCTATGTGGGCATTCCTAGCTCTGTTATCTGTCGGGATGGGTGTGTATGGTGCACCGTCAGCTCCTGCACCACCGCCTGACGCCCGCTCTGTCTTCGTAGACCCTCGAGCAATTCTAGGAATGCCAATGGGACTATTCATAGGACTCCAACAGGGATTTATTTATACGTCATATATTAAGGTAAAGATTCAATGTCTTTCATATTTTTTAAACTTAGTTAAGGTTTTGTCTGAATTAGAATGTTTTACAATAAATTGCCTTTGTCTACGCCTTCAAGTTTTTGTATTTTAAAAATATACATTGCATATTATTGTTAAGGGGAGAGCGTCTTACACTAAGCTTCGTCCGTCTTTTGTCATGCTTGTCTAAAACATCTATGTATTCCAGTGGTATGGAGTATGCGTGGACGGATGGTGGTGTGCGTGGCGATCGCTCTGCGGGACAGGGGTCCTACAGGCTCTGGCAGCCGGGACACTGTCTATGGCAGCAGCGCGAGGAAGGCGCGGTGCGCTCGCGGCTGGTGGCGGCGCTGCGCATGCGTCACTAGTCCTCGCTCTACTTAGGTGGAGGGCTGCTAAGACGGACTTAGCACTTCCTGCCTTGGCGGCAGCCGCCTGGGGCGCTTGTGCTGCTCTTTGGGATGTACTGCAGGTATATCTATGGGTCCTTTCAGAATAGGTTGTGGTGGTCTGAATATCATTTGTAAATGTAAATTCTCGATAAATTAATAAAATCTAATAAAAACATAATGTGAGTAAGGTTTCTAATTTAAAAATAAATAGATACTTCTGTGACTTACACAGAATACAGCACTTATTGCTTTCCAATCAGTCAAATCTCTTGAATTTAATTTTCAAAGTTTTTTTTTCGAATTCGCGAATAGCAGGTATTAAAGCATTCGGAGGAAGTCAATATGCATTTTTAAGTATATACATAAATACTCATTATCATCACCCTATAAGTGCCCACTGCTGAACAAAGCTTCTCACACGGAGAAGGTTTGAGCATAAATCACCACGCTTGATCAATGCGGGTTGGCGATTTCAAACTTATAATTAAAAATTATAATTCCAGGTTTCCTGACGATGTTCACCTTCACCGTATGTCAGTCGTGTCTAAATTATCATAAAAAGTACAAACTCGTATAACACGTAAAAAGTCTCATTGGTACTTGCCAGGTTTCGAACCCACACCCTCACACATGAGAAGCGGGCTATACTCAGGGCCGAAAAGACCTAATAAATACTCAAACATGCTTATTTTTTCTCCAGGCCGGTATCTGCATCGGTGGTCCAGGTTGGCGAGGCGCGTGGTCCATTATCTTGGCGGCGCGGCACTCAGGGATGGCAATGGCGTGCATCGCACGACAACTGTTGTGTGTACGCGCACAGCTGGCGGGCTTGGCGACAGCCCTGCTGGCTGCACTCGTCACGCATACTATGCTGGAGCTTAGATTGCGCAGAGGTGATAAACCGAAACATTTAAGAGTATTTTCTCATCTTCAACAACATATTATGGTCGTTCAGTTTAGGTCTTCTTGGAATGTCTTCTTAAATTAAAGCAGTCGTATATAATACATATAAAGATTATTTAAATTTAGTTTACATGCTAAAATCGATTTAGGGAAATTCCTGATTGTAAACATTTTTAAATTAGATAAAGAGGCATGCCAAGATAGTTTACATTTAGTTTATTATTTAAAGATCTAAACTGATGAACCATAGACACAAAATTTCTCTGTTGGGCTTTTCCCATACAGCGTTAAACCAAATATTCTAAAGCCCCAATGACTTCCTAATAAGGGCAATTTTGAATGACTTTACTGCTAGAACTGCTATTGAAACTTTTGTTGAGGTCATAAGACATACTTACATTTACAACAATGGGGAATGAATGTTCAAAATATTTTTTCTTCCTCAGGGGACACAAATCGCCCAAGATCCTAGCGAAGACCAACAGCGACGCAGCTGGCGGCGCTTGCACCGACGTCCGACGACGTCGAGGAGCCTGACGTCAGTGACGTCGCGTGCCACGTCATCAGTTAACGTCGCTGGCGAATAATGAACTGAAAATTCAAGGTCATCTACCAAACGTTAACAATCTCCTACATCGCTAGTGTAAATTGGACAACGTGTGAACGTCACTAGTGTTACGTTTTCGACGTCAAATCGCTGGAGTAACGCGTTGCTAGTGTAATGTGTACGTTTACACGCTTGCCGAGACTTGCCAATTGTCCACAAACACAAGCGTGTAAACAAACAGGGTGTTTGACGTCGCTTGCATGAGCTTGCAAGAGCTTGTAGGCGAACCGGTCCGGTGTCGGATGTTGGACACAGTGTAAAGGAAATTTTTAAAAAGCGTTGGCGACATATTTACACGTTGTTGGTGATGTCTAAAAAGGCATCAGCTTGTGGACGTTATCCAAGTCTTGGCAAGCGTGTGAACGTAGCATAAAGAATATAAAATTGTCGGGCGCAACGTGTACAACGTTTTCGAAATTCAAATTGCTGGTTTAATATGACCAATGAGGTGACGATACGTCTTGTTGTGACTATGGACGATGTTTATTGAAACTATGTATTATAATATTAAAAATATATTGTTAACAGACAATCTGTCTACTTTCACAAGCACTATAACTGTTCAAACGAGTGAGAACTATTTACATACATTACTACTTCTTGAATAATATTTTTTCACTTTTGCTGTTGGCGTGAGATACCGAAAGAGAACTAAGAAAGTATCCAGTTTAAAGCTATTCTCTTCACAGTTTTTCTATGTAATTAATTAGAATATTACAATGTTTTTATATGACTTTTTTTTAAGTTTCATAAATTCCGTACCTAATATCTTATCTTACGCCATTAGCTGGATGTGGCTTTAGGAAGTAGGGTGATGGGCTACTATGACGTGAAAGAGGGATGGAGCTATACACCTTTATAGCTCCATCCCTCTTCGCCTGGAAGATTGACGCTTTCACTGTTTGCCCTAAGTTTTGGCAACGAGGTTGAATAATATATATATTTCAAAGAATTCATAGATTGAAATAATTATGCTAAATAACCAACTGGTCTTTAAGAAGCCCGCTTCTCAAACGAACTTCTCAACAACGAAACTTGGCAAGTACCAATGTGACTTTTTCCAAGTTGTATGTACTTTCAATAATTATTTAGACAGCACTGACATACGGTGAAGGTAAACATCGTGAGGAAACCTGGACTTATGATTTCTAAGTATAAGTTTGAAATCGCCAACCTGCATTGAGCGAGCGTGTTGATTAATGCTCTAACCTTTTCCGTATGAGAAGTGGCCTTTGCTCAGCAGAGGGCACTTATAGGCTGATGATGATGATGATAAACCAACTGGAATAACACATAATATCTTAACATGATGTATCGACTGGTATTGAGACTAATAAGAAAATGTTTGTTTTATACCCACGTTTGAATAATCGGTTTTCGATGTAGATCTTTTATTGTTTATACGGTTATAAGAACTCATCCTACTTCCAAAGCCATATCTCTCAAAACCACTTAAAACTAAGGACCCAAATCCATTGAGTTTTATATAAAAATATATTTTATTTTAATACCTACCTGTTACCTTGACTGACTGCTCACCGAAGTCAATGTTTTATAAATGTTTAGGATAGAAACGTTGACGTTGTTTACTAGACTGATTGGAATTGAATGTGGATCTTTGAGATGCTGTGTTTGTACGATAATGCACTTAGAACACTGCCACGTCTGATGTAAGTCAGACAGTCAAGTCTCAAAGTTCAAATAATGTACCATTACAGCTTAGTAGCGGCAGAAATGGCTTTTATAACTCATTCTATTGCCGAGTTGTGCGTTATTGAGGTCTTCTTGAGTGTCAAATCACACCAATGTAAGAATAAAAAACATAATATACTTACTGAGTTAATTCATCAAATCCCAAGCGAACGCCGGCGCACCTATTATTTCTCTATTGTGTCTCGATTTACCACATTTGAAAGGTTCATATTATATTCTGCTGCCTGAATGGACAGGCAAAAGAACGTACGACTAATAAGAAAGTGTTAATGTAAAACTGCACAAAACTAATCGCTTTCTGAAACTCTTTTGTCAATACGCAGCGCATGTATAAAAAAGTACTCTGTGGCGCAGACATCGTATAAACGAAGTATTCTCAAAGACAATGGCAGGCTTTTTATCCGTGATTAAAGAATAATTTAAACATGAGTTCTTTTTTTGTTTGTTATGGACAATTTCGTTTTTTATAATGCACTTTTGAATATGGAAAACTTGTTTTTTATACCTATGTAATATGTATATGCAGTCAATTGTAATTGTAATTGTGTCCGAGAAAAAAACGTTAAAGAATCATCCAAATTATTTGATGATAACAGGAATTTAAGTTATTGCCTACAAAATAATTTCATTTAGGGCTGATTTTTTCATAGTCAGATAAATGTTATCTGTGGAATCAAATTGTTGCTGTCACTGTCTTATACAAACATTCTGACGCGACAGCATCATAATTATTCCCCGGGTAAGTTTTATTTAACCATTGAAAACTCAGCCCTTACATTACAATTTGTTTTTAATAGAATACCAACCTACATAAATACACTGGATTATGTAAATATTAACAGTGATACTTACTTTATATTTATTTATTTATTTATTTTATTTATTTAATAAATGGTGAATCAACAGCTACATTATACAATTTTAGCAGAAAAATAGTGACATTGAGCCACTTACAGATTCACACGAATAGTGCCAGAATAGTTAACAACTAAGACCAAATTAAAAATTTTAAATATAATCAAAACAGTAGGCACACCGCAAGAAAATTATATAAAGAAAAATGATGTAAACATATTTGAAAAAACATAAATTAGTTATTAAAAAATTCTCCACTTATCATGGTTCTAGCTTTTCTCAGGCTTGTACAAAAGATATCTACATCATGCTTGCTACTGATGTCGTTAAAGGTACGACAAGCTCGACACAAAAATGAGCTCTGCCTGTAGTTACTATTTGCAACCGGGGGACAAAGAGGTGTGTGCTTCCTAAAGGATTTCGAGGGAACATTGAGAGACAACTTTTCAAGGAGTTCAGGGCAATCAACCCTACCGTTTTATTTTGATAAATAAATAATAAACTAAACATTTTATAAATAGAATGATCAGACAATATTATTTGGATGTGCATAAAATAAAGATTTTGGATGTGCGTGTTAGGATAAAGATGTGTTTACGACGAAAATATGAGAATTAATAAAATGATTGTTGACTGAAAATGCATTTCATTACGAACCTCAACTAAATATTTTTATAATAAGGTCTTTTTCCACCAACTTTATTAAAGTACTAATACATTTGAGTGACGGATACTCCATATAATTATATGCATATTAATATAGAATCGATAGATGGCTCTTCCACAATATTTACTTCTTTTTGAAATCGCCAGTCCACCTATTGCAATTTTCACGAGACGATCACCAGCCACCGTAAGCGCGGGTTTGCGGTCGGCGAGTAAGGGCAGCTCGCCGCCCGACCAGAACCACACCCGAGCGTACGGCGCGTAGCGTTCCGCGCGCGCCTCAAAGAGCCAGTAGAGCTGATATTCAGCCGGGGTTGCGGGGTAAGTGCAATGAGGCACCGCGACCTCGGCCCAGAGCAGGAGAAAGAACAGGGGGGCTTTTAGTCAGTAAGAGTCTGACACTCCCTCCCGCCCCTCCCTGGGTGGGAAAAGTAATTTGATGATTTTCCCCTCACAAAAAATAAACCTATAGCAATTGTAGCGTATTGTATTAATGCCTAAAGTGTCCACGTCACAAAATACCTTTGCCCAGCAGCAGACAGCTGGTGATGTTGATGACAAAGTAAAGCAGATATATCACGAGTGCATTGCCGATCCTAAACCTGGCCGTGCACCAATGCTTTTCTACGACTACTTCTCCCTTGATATTTGCATTTTGCCGAATAAAATAACACCCACTTTTAACTTCTGTTAGGTGCCGAAATAGAGTGCGTCGCCCCAGGCACAAAGGGAACTGGTTGCTTGGCATACTTGGATAGTTCTTTAGTTAGGTAGGTAGCTATCTACTTCAAAATAAAACACAGAAAGGTCAACATTAACACGTTATGTTTATTTTTCCTATGTTCTATGACTAGGAACCCCGTCGCATAGTCGTCGTTTAACAAATCGATTTCTTTTCTCCTTTTTACAATAAGTTACAATAATAACCTTAATAAAAATGGCGGGAGAACAGGAAAATAATAATATGTCAATAGACAAATCAAAGAATCTTGTGTGTTAATTTGCTTTCCAAATTCAAATTTTTAAACAATACTATAATAGACAGGCAATATTTGAAAAATAAAACAAAAAGCGGTCCAGTTTTAGGTGTATAAGTTAACCTAACCTCTAAATCTTATACACCGCGTGGTGAGATGCCCATTGAACTTCATTCTCTTTTGACGACCACGAACAGGGTGCGTTACATTCACAATAATATTATAGTTTAAGTATAGCACTAGCGGCAGGGATAATTTCTACAATCAAGTCGTTAAGAAGGCATTGTTACGTAAACAGCTTGCTTGAGTTTTGTTTTAAAGAGCGAATTAAATATCTTTGCGTAGTTAGCCAAGCAAGTTTGTACCTAAACCTACTTTGATTAGGTGAAATTTGGGAAACATTTCTCAGTAACCTTTAACTGTATTTGATTGTAAAAACCATCGTCGCCATTACTTTAATAGTAATTTAGGGATAAAAATACTAACAACACATATTATATCATACTATTATTGTCAGCAACAATTGATTTTTATCCATTCTAACCAATTACGTAATCAATACAGATTTTTTCATAATTCGATTCCGTTTATTATCTGTCAAATTGACGTGCGTCAATAATGTTACCACTAAATAAAAAGTCTTCAGTCTAGTAGAAACCGTTATCCGTTCGCAAGCGTTGAGAGAAACACAACATTGAATATCAGAAAGTAAAATAATTGACATCTAAATAATATTGAAGCTTCCAATTAGCTTCTAGGTCGTTAGTTG